TGATCAGGTCATTTGATTTTTTTATTGCTGAGTTATACCACCTCAATTTTTTTACTATGAAACAAAGACCCAGAAAGGTTAAGTGCTTGGCCAAAGCCACTCCAAGTTTATAGCAGAGCCATGGCTAAAACCTTGTACTTTTACTTCCAAGGCTGATGCCCCTTTCCATGACATCAGCCTGCCTGGGTCAATACAGGATACCAGCCTCTACTGGTCACATTTGAGATCTATCCCTGATATTCCCAAATTTTTACTCCAACTTCAGATCTGCTTCTCCCAGTAATATTTTGTCTTCTTAGTAGCTCATTAACTGACTCAGAGCCTGGCATTTTAAGTTCCTGTGGTTTTCTGTCCCTGTCCTGAGTAATTGTTTATGATAGCCTCCCCTTTTACCCCCCAGGTTACTCTGGCCTCATCCACCACCTGAAGAAGCAGTCTGTGTAGTCTGCATACCTTTGGAGGAATTCATTAGGCCAGGGTCCAGATGCAGAACTGAGATAAATGTTTTACAGCAGTGCAAGGTAATGGGTGAGAGGCAAGGCAAAGGCACTCTCCTCAGCTGCATCGCCCACTGTGGCTCCACATGACTGCTGATCTGCAGCTACTGGATGGCGGATCAGAAGAGGCCTGAGACCCAGAGGCCCAGGAGAACTGTGAATCATTAACATTTGCAAGCTGGCTGCAAAGGATGCTTTAGCAGTCATTCCCTCCCTCCTCCTTTTTCCAGCTGAAGGGTCAAAATACACAATATTTTTCCACCAAAAGAAAAATCAAGGTGCAGAGCAAGAATAGACCATGCCCTGGGTTCCTGCATGCACCAAAGTCTAGGTACTCCTCAAGAATGGATCACGGTCTCCACCTGACTCTTTCTGAGACAGAAACAAAGGATCAGTGGCCTTTGGAAAATTTGGTCCAGTCCTAAAGGGTCAGCTTCTCAGGGGTCCCAGAGAGACAAGCCTGGGAATGTGCCAAGGATCTCAAGGCCTCGGCCTCAGCCTGACTCCATGCCTCACGGAGAGAATGGGGACCATTCCATCCAGGGGTGATAGGCCAGTGAGACAGAATCAAGGCCAGAAGCAGCCTAGGGCCCACGTCTGTGGCATGATTCAGAAGACACCCCTGCCTCAAAGCATTGCCTCCCTCAGGATGGTCCTAGTACCACCCTAACAAGCCAGTTTGGAGAGCAAACTGATCCATGTGCATTATTTCTCCCCATTGCTTAGAATTCTAACATGCCAGGTAAAAAAAGAGCAATGCTTGCCTTTATTATCCATGGAAGAAGGCATTTTTCTCTTCTCAGAAGCTCAAGTCAGGAAGAGGACGGTTCCATTTGATCTGCCTTAATGAGGGGTGCAGCCTCTGTGCCCCCAGCCAACTTCTAAGTAGTACCTGCAAGCACACTCCCAGGAATGTTTCCTTTGCTAAACACTATCTTTTCCTTTCTCCTAGATCAGACTGGAAATATCCTGGAGGATAAAATGTTAAGTCCCTGATTCAAGGGATTAGACATCAGGAAGGCCTGGGATTCCTGGTGGCTGCGGTAGGCTGAGGATGTACTGACATCACAAAGTATGGGAGGCCAGTTTCCTCAACTCCTTTGGCCAAAGGCAGGGCTTGTGAGGAGCCTTAGGAGTTCAGCACAAGGATTCTCCTGGCTGTAGCTTGTAGGGCAACTCTCAGGAGGCAATAAGCAGAGGCGTTTGGGGATCTGCAGCTACAGGGCACATGCTGTGTGACTTCGGCCTGCAGGAGACAGCATGGCCCTGAGCTGCAGAGAGGAATCTTCTTATTTGTTCACACAGCACAGGGTGGCTTTGTGGTGGTGGGTGGTGGTGGTGAGGGGCATCACAGACAGAGCTGTGACTGCAGCCACCTCTGCCATCAGGCTGGTGTGTCCTGGAGAAACTCAAGTTGTCCCCATACAAATCAGTGAGTGGAGCAGGTGGCAGTGTCGGGGCTGCTGAGCCAGGAGTCCTGGAGGCCTGGTCTCCTATCAGCAGGAGACCTGGCTGTGAAGGAACCTGTGTCCTCTATGACCAAGGAGGGACAAGGCAGACTCTCCAGCATGCCACAGTGACTTGGGCACACAGATCTTCTCTGCCTTCTATTTAAAAAGACAGAATTCAAGGTCAATGTTCCTGGTGAGCCACCATTTACTACAGACTGGAAATCATAACTGAAACTAACAGAGGTGCCCCCAGGGCCTGCCCTGCCATCTTGCTGCCCAAAGCCCTGGCGCTCTCCGCCCCCCACCCTTGTCTTACAGTAAAATAGCCCTGACTCCCTCCTCATATGCTGTACCAAGGACTCTGGGCAAAAGGTCAGCAGGGACAGTGGCTGGGGGTGGGGACTGAAATGCCTACACAGCTTTACTCTAAGTGCCCTCTGGCCCTGGGGTTTGGTTTCCTTCCAGAAAACTGTTAGCTGTGCCAAAGGGGTCAGTTCTTCCTTCTCCAGGGGAGACACGGGGTCTCCTACCAGGCCCCTGCGGCCAGGAGGGGCTGAGGCCAAAGCAGAGAAAGGTAGTAGATCCCTCTTTTCTGTCAGGTCTGATGGGCTTCCTCACAGTCACTCAGGTTGCTGACAATCACACCAGTCACAAAGCAGGTGTGAGCTCAAAATCAGACCAAGGATCAGAGGTGTGTTCTCCAACCAATGCTTCACAAATTCACACACAGTAAGAGCCACGCGTGGATGCAGCCAAGTGAGCTTCAAGAGGAAAGGTGATGGAGCGACAAGATGTTCTCTCTATACACAGACATGGCCTCTGGCATCTTCATTGCCTAAAAGGCTAATATTGTCAAGTGAAATGTGGAAATCAGTCACAAAACCTAAAGTGATCTTTGGCTGCAGTGAATAGACAAGATGTGGACTACGCTGAGGCAGGTGGCAGTTCTGAGGCCCGTACACACTTGACAAGGGAACCTGACAAACTAGACTGTTCAGAGGGAAGTGACAAGGATGGAGGAAATACAGAGACTGTGCTAGAAGGCATAGCTGAAGAGGCTGGGGATATTTAGCCCAGAAAGGAGAAATGTTAGCTGAAATGATTAACTTTGTTCAGGGTTTGATGGACTTCACCATAGGAAAAAAAAAACTAGGTAATAACAGCCAACATTCACTGAGTACTTACTATGTACCAAATGCCATGCTAATTATTTTATGTACATTTTCTCATTTAATCTAAACATGTCTATGATGTAAGTGCTATTATTATTCCTGTTCTACAGATGAGGAAAACTCAGAAAAGTTGAGTGACTTACCCAAAGTCACATAATAATGGTGGAGTCAGGAGATGATTCCTCTGCCTGTGACTTAATCACCAACCAGAGACACATTCTGTGTGAAGCCCTCAGCAGAATCAGGAGCAATGGTTGGATGTTAAAGGGAGGCACGTCTGAAAGCAACATGAGAGAGAATTTTTAAACTGGAGGCGTTCAACAAAGAATATTGAGTGGGTGTTTTGGGTGGTAATGAGCTACACACTCCTAGAGAGGTGAAAGCAGAGGGTGCAAGAGGCATTGAAGAGAACCATCTGCAAGGAGCATTACAAGAGCAGCACCTGGGAACTTGTTAGGAGTACAGATTCTTGTACCCCACTGCAAGCCTGCTGAATCAGAAACTGTGGCTGGGCCCAGCCATCAGTATTTCAACAATCACCTGGTGATTCTGATCCATGCTCAAGTCTGAGAATCACTGGCATAGAAGTGTCTGCATCCTGCCAGATAACTTCTTTAGGCCCTTCCATTTCTGAGGTCCCACAATTCTACAGAGGTAAGATTTAAGCTATGATTTAACATTTAACCAGATTTTCTTTCAATGTTGAGCACTTACTAGTAATATCTTGAAAACAATGTATCAGTTGCTAAACTTTGTACTTAGATTCAGGTACCTTAGATATCCAAAAGCTAACAGGATAGCCATTTGAAGGCTGTGGGCAAGGGGCTGCTCCTCCAGTGCCCCTACCAGGAGACAGCCTACCTTCCAGCCACACCAGTTGCCTCATCGGTTTCCAAACAAGCCTAGTATGTCCCTACACCTTGTGCGTTCATATTGTTCCTTCATCTGAAAACCACTTACCCCTGCCTTTTGAAATCTTACCTTCTTTAAAAGCTCAATTCAAATGTCACTTTGTCCACTGAAGTGCGTAACAGCACACAGTAAAGTCTCCCTTCTCTCCTTTCTGGTTTTCTTTCACTTCAGGGGTATATATAGCACCTGGCTCATTCTGCCTCATCTCAACCAGAATGGGCCTCTCTCAACAAAGCACGTTCTCCTTGAGAGCAGGCCAAGTGCGCAGTCATGCCAACCCCACAATGCCTCATGCACAATAACGTTCAGGAAGGAGTGATCAGAAGTAGCATTTTAAGAAAATTATGTATGCAACTGTTTGCAGGATGGACAAATGCTGCATGACTGAAGAGAAGGAAGCCCTCGGAGATTCAGTTTCAAGCCCCAAGGTCTCTGCAGAACTGTGAGGGTTTTGCAGTAACCAGTGTGAACACGTGTGTGATCAGCGGCCACACCCCTGCCCCTTTTCCCCCATCTCTTGATGGCTTCCCGCCCTTCTTCCCCTTCAGCCTGGAGCATCCCTGTTCTCTGACCTACTCCTGAGCAAGACCTCTCAGGAAGACTTGGCATCTTCTTTACATTTGAGGGCACATATCTTCTAGTTATTTTATTTTCACTCTTACCCTTATTATAAATTATCAAGTGAAAAATATTTGTCCCCCAAGGTGAAGGAAACAATTTCACAGTGTGGTTTTTCTCAGTCCCTCGGCATCTTAGTCTATTTTTAACACACACACACACACACACACACACACACACAAGGAAGAGGGAAAGGAGAAAGCAGAAGATGACAAGTAGAGCAGAGGGAGGAGGAAAATATTCACAGAGGGGGTAGGTGGAGAGAGAGGCAGGAAGACCCGTGACTGCTAAAAAGGAAAAACCCTTTCTGTGGCTTTCAAAGACCATATATACCAGTAATGAAAGCATGATAAATGACGGAAGTGGGAGATGGGGTTTTAACAAGACTGAAGAACAAGCCTGGGGCTGAGAGCTCATTCAGGGTGCTTTCACCAGAGCCAGAGACTGGGACAAAAGGTAAAGAGGCCCCTGGGCACCTGAGATGTGGAGCAGGGATGGGACAGTTGACAGAACTGTTCAGGTAAGGAAAGGCCCTGAGACGGTAAGGTGAGGTCCCTTTTTCTTGAAATGTCCTTTACCCTCAGAGGCCTGGGCCAGAGGCATCATTCGCACCAGCTGGGCCAGCGTGCCAGCTCCTCTCCCCCAGGCTGTCAGAGGTTTTCTCAAGTGGGCAAGGACCACACTGCATGTTCATGGAGGGGAATCCTGGTGAGGCCTCTGGAGTACCTGTACCTCCGGGCGACTTTCTTTTGTTCAGTGCTCATGCGTGATAAGTGACAAAGGGGCACTCTTATTAATAAAAAGGAGATGCTTACTAGAGGAAAGGTATGAGGTTTGAATCAGCTCTCCTCCGGACCCCTCAAAGCCTAGCCCAGGAAAAGCCAGTGGGCTGCATGGGGCTGGTGTTCCCGGGCAGCTGCATCCAGGGAGGTCTCTCCCTGCATACCAGGTGAAGCCTCAGCCTGACAGGGGAGGGTTCTTAACTCTGAACAAGAAAGAATTCTTGAGCAGCTCAGATGAACGTAGGTAAGGAAGTAATTCATTAAAGCCAGAATAGCAGCGAATGGCAGCTGCCTCGCAGGCAGCAAGAAGCAAGGAAGCTGAAGTAGGACAGAGTGGAGACCTGGGCTAAAGTCTAGAAAACAGAATGAAATAACGAAGTAACAAAGACACTTACCACTGGAAGAGCAGACCACAGAGACAAAACACAATAAGCTGAGCAATGATAATTTTTTATTTAAGGCAAAAAGTATACACTCAAAGAAAGAGGAGTGCTGGCAACCTCAGAGAGGAGGCACACTTAGGGCTTAGGACTGTCTTTTAAGGCTTTCAGGAATGGGGAAAAAGGGCGGGGTGGGGGTTGTTGCATGTAGGCTTGACTTGTGGTCTCATGATGTCTCTGGTGAGAGACATTAAGTTATTATCCACAGTCAGTCCTCTAGATAATTCTGTAAGATAAACTTAACACAAGGAATTTATTGATCCAGTTCCTCTCCAAGATAGTGGTTTCCCTCAAACACTGGGAACATATCAGTTAAGACTGTTTGCCCTGCCTTAAGATAGGTTATGTGCTGATTTACCAAAGAATATGTTAGAAATCTAACTTCTCAACTTGCTGCTTTTAAAATGGAATCTTAGGCTTAAGATGGAGTCCCTCCTGTTCTTACTATACTATTTATATCTCACCATTTTTCATCATAGGCAGGAAAAGTTAATCATTATGCTTGTCCCATGTCCCTGGTCATGTGAGACCCATCAGAGGTGAGTTCACATCCCAGATGTATGCTCTGGGGGTGACGCAAACAAGGGGAGGCTTCAGGCCACTGAAACCTTTTTAGCAGAGTAAACCTGGGAATTCCAGGGTGAAGAAAAGGAAGATAATGGCTTAGAAATAGTTTTCCCCAAGTTCCAGAGTTATGTACTTTAGAGGAAAGACCTGTCACCTAGGAATCAGGAGATCTGGTGGCCCCAGTTTTCCTAGTTGGAAAACGATGAGTCTGTTCTGCAGGGGTTCTTAACTGAGGATCCATGGATTCATTCATAGTTGTGAATTTGGGGGAAACATTATTACATCTTTACCTTCACCAGTCTCTAGTTGAAAGTTAGCATTTGCTTCAATTATGAATGTAGACAACAAACCACAACAGAATTTACCATCAGTATAAACCACAGATATTTTCAAATCTCCTTACAGTTGTTAAGAGTTTTCTCAAAATGTCATAAGCACTCATCATTACTATGAAATTAGGATAGTTATTAGGCTAATGTTAGTTCTAAAGCATGTATACTACTCTATTATATATTCTTATGTTTGTACAACCATGTGTACATAATTTGTTTCCTTTGTTAAACTATATTTTATTTTATTACATTTAAATGTTATTCTGAAAAGGGGATCTACAAGTGTCACCATATAACAAAGGGTCTGTGATGCATTTAATGTTAAGAAGCCCTGCTCCCATGTGTTGAGGGTATCAGAGCTGGAAGCCTGAGAAAGCAGACAAGTGCTCCAAGGGTCTCCTAAACCTAATTTTGTTTTACTTACAAATCCGGTTCTACTTTAAGGAGGTTGGGGTTGTGTCAACTGAAGAGATCCCATCTCTGGGCCTGGAGCATCTTTTCCAGTTTTGTGGGAGATTTGCAAGCAAAGGTACCTGTGGAGATAATTGCTAACCTTACAGCTCTTCAGAGAGGTTAGGTCTGGACTCTGGTAGCAGAGAGAATGGGAGAGTGAAAATAAAATAACTAGAAGACATGTGCCCTCAAATGTAAAGAAGATATTATCCCAACGGCGACAGTCCATACCCCCCAACAAACCTCGGGCACAGCTTCCACAGGTCATTACTTATCACAACATTCACATGAGGGAGCTTTAAACACAGGAAAAATGTGAGGCTATGCAAGGCTCAGAACGTGCCCAATATCACACGAGGCTTGGATTCGAATCCAGCATTCCAGGCGCCTCCACTTTAAAAGGTCAGTAAGAGGAGGGCGTTTACGGTCCGCCGGCTGCTATCTCGCTCTCCAGAGAGTACATAGGCCCTGGGCAGCCAGAGCAGGTTAGGAGCCCGAGGAAGGCTTTAAGGTGAGGAGGCCAACCTAATGTCCACCCGCATCCTTGACCGCTCCGGGGCTCGCCACGCTTTATGAGGGAGAGGAGACCTGGCCCTGACACGTGGGGGATCCAGCCTAACCTAGTCCACAGACTAACCCCCACCCCAACCTCCTCCCGCTGTTGGGGCCCAGATGCGGCCCTAGTATACCCTGCATCCAAGGACCTACCAGACCCGACTTTGCACCCCCCCACATCTCCAATATTAATTTAGCTTTTACCGGACTAGCCCGCGTGCCTAATCCCCCACCCCGGCTCAAGGGGCAAAGGCCTGGTTGAGGAACTGCAGGGAGGGTGGAAGCTCCCATTGGAAGGCAGCGCCCCCTAGCGGCCAGAGTGCAAAACTAGCGACGCCTGCTCTGCCGGGCCCTGCCTGAGTCAATCACACAAGGGTGCTCCTGCTACGACACCAAGGTCACCTATTCCAAGAGTATCCTTTCCCCATACCCCCACCTGCCTCCAGCCTTCCAGAATGGCGCGCCACAGACTTACACGCTCTGCTCCAGCTCAACCCTCGGCACGGCGAAGCCCAGCCACTCCTTGATCTGCGCCTGCGAGCGGGCCTGTCTGCCGCTTTCTTTTTGGAAACAGTTCCTACCCCACCCTGCCCCCGTCCCGCTGCGCCAGTCCCTCAGGAAACACATCTAGAGAAGGGACGTGACCTTGACATCTCACAGCTAGCTAGCTAGTGCAAAAGCCAGAACTGCAAGCCACATCTCCCCAGCCCCCCTCCCCACCTTACCTCACCGACGCACCCGTCAGCACCAGCTCCCCAAAGTAGACAGACATCTATCACGGCCTAATTCCAACTGCCATCTTGTAGCCTTTCCAGATCCCTCATTCAGAATTTCTCGTTCTTTAGTCCTTGGTATACTTATGACCTTATTATTTTCATCACAGCCCTCCTTGTGTTGCAACCTCTTCCGAATGGCTGGATAGGTGTGAAAAGAAGGAAAAGGAAATGAAACTCCAAGAGAAATATACACATCATTTGGGCGTTAGAATACTAGCTCTCCAATTTAGAAGCTGCGATTTTAAGCTAGTCACAAGGCCTCTGTAAGCCTCCATATGCTTAGTACAAATGACAGATTCTTATATAACCATAAGAGCTCAGTGTTCTTTAAGAAAAAAACACAATCATGTATGTGGATGTGCTTGGGACACTGTAAATTGCCTCAAATACGAGGAACCATAAAAATAATCATGGCTAACACTTACTAGGCTGTTTACTCTATGCCCGGGCACTATGCTGGCACTGTAGCATGTAGTTTACATAGACTGACTCATTTAACCTGTACTACACGGGGAAGATAATATTATCACCATTTCATAGATCAATACAATGATTTTTAAAGAGGTTAAGAAACTTGCCCAACATTACACAGCTAGTGTCAAAGGCAGATTATAGAAAGAATCAGAGCTCTGCCTTCTGTCAGCACTCACAAGGAGGTAATGAGAGGAGAAAGAAGGGTAGGGCTGGTTCCACTAAAACATAAGGTTGGGTAGCCAGAGAAGTACAAATACCAGTTACATGAAGTCACTGATACCTTTTCAATGTGAAGAATGCCAACTTCAGATCTGTGTTATTAGAGGTTTCATTGCTCAATATTTTGAAACAGGCAGCCTCATTTTACAGATGAGGAAACAGAGGCCAGAGATAAGACCAAGGAAGCAGAATCAAGAGTTGAATTAGTGTCTACCCAAGTTTTGTAGTTTTAGGAAAATTTAGAAAGAACTCCAGAGGAAAGGAATGCAAGTAGCCTTCCCTGAAAGGAGGAGATAAAATCTGTGAAGATTAAATGATTCAATACATGTAAAGTGCCTAACATGTATAGAATCGTCTAGTGTCCAACATTACAGTTGCTCTTTCCTTGTCCTCCATTTCATTTATTTTTTTTAAATTAGGGTATCATTGATATACACTCTTGTGCTCAGGTTTCACATGAGAAACATTGTAGTTACTACATTCCCCCTATTATTGAGTCCCCACAATATACCCCATTACAGTCACTGTCCATCAGCATAGTAAGATGCTATAGAGTCACTATTTGTCTTCTCTGTGCTACACTGCCTTCCCTGTGCCCCCTATACATTATGTGTGCTAATCATAATGCCCCTTAATCCCTTTGTCCCTACCTTCCCAACCATTCTCCCCAGTCCCTTTCCCTTTGGTAACTGTTAGTCCATTCTTGAGTTCTGTGAGTCTGCTCCTGTTTTGCTCCTTCAGTTTTTTCTTTGTTCTTATACTCCACAGATGAGTGAAATCATTTGATACTTGCTTTCTCCACCTGGTTTATTTCACTGAGCATAATACCCTCTAGTTCCATCCATGTTGCTGCTGCTAATGGTAGGATATTTTTTCTTCTTATCACTGAATAATATTCCATTGTGTATATGTACCACCTCTT